CACCTCTTAACAAAACTGTTCTTTAAGAAAAAGAAACCGACTGGTTGATTAACCCACTCCTCTTAGCATTACCCATTATTGTCCTTAAGATTCGATACCTTTCAATAGGAAGATCACTATTTTTGAACCACCAACCTGTTGTAGCTAAGTTCACATGAATGACCCAAGTAATATTTATGGTATTCTCAGTATGATGATTCTATCGTTTTCTTTGCTCCAGTTTTTAATATGTTAATGGTTTCTATATATTCATTGGATGCTAGGATGTTGTGTACTTACATTAATATGGCAAGCTATATGGCAATTCCACCGAGTTTCAAGCAACTTGATAATGTGTTATATCTCTGACTAATGAAGTAAATGATATTTCGCTCCAATAATGTAGCATCACAACTCCATGATCTCTCTCTCTCTCTCTCTCTCTCTGTCTCTCTCTATAATCCTCTTTCTCTTGTTTTCTGCTTGTAGGCTGTCAATGCAGATTCCATACAGCGATTAAGGAGTGAGCTTGGGAATCTATTAGCTAATAAAAGCCTGAAGATGAACTTAAGGTTTGTACTTGTCTACTAAACTGCAGTTATTTCTCTTTTTTCTTGATATTTTTTATTTTATTTTTTTTTATTTTTATTTTTCAACCTGATGTAAATCATGATCTTGGTAATAGAAAATTGTTATCTTGCAAAATCTGCCTTACAGAAATCAGAGGGACAGTAGTTATTTATCTATTCCAAATGTTTATCGTGTTCATATGCATTTGCACCAAAATTCGTGTCTCAGTTGATAGGGTATTATTACAAAAATTACCCAATGTTATATTGTTATAAATAAATCATTTAGTATTTACACGTTCAAGTGACACTTGAGATTTGTATGAACCGTACAAAAGCACCCTCTTGATGACACTCCTGTAAGAGCAAAGTTAACGTTTGGGTGTTTCACATAACACGAAGAATTTTGGGTTTTTGGTGCAATCTGAAGTTGCAATTATGATCAAATAAAAAGTTGATTGTGAAGAATAACGGGGCGAGTCGTATTCCAAAAGCAAGTTGACATAGGAGACTGAAATTCTAGGATATGGCATCGAATTTGTCATAGTCTAGTTGCTAGGCTAAAGAAAAAAGCATTCAATAGCAGGACCTTCCTAGAACTAATATGTCTATTTATAGCAACTTTGCAGAAGGCAGAAATAAAGAGATACCGAAAGCAGACCGCTGCATTAAAATGACCTATTAAAACACTAAACTTCTAAAGAAAGCTAATTGGTTCCCAGTTCATTTCACTTTGAGGTCAACATGATGTGCTGTACTAAAAAAATACGTAAGGTGTAATCGGTCGAATAGAAACAACTGCAAGGATGAATATGTAATTTTGAAAGAGTAATTTTCATTATAAAGCATGTGTCGGAAATATCGTAGGACTGCCTTAACGGGCAAATCAAGGATCACAACAAAAGGAGATTAAAATCATGCAAGATCAAGGTTATCCAATAATATACGGCCATTTTATGATTAAATTCGATCATAAACAAGTTTAATTTTGATTTTTGCATCACCTTTACCATGATTATTTTGTCATATTATATCGTAGGGGGATTGGAGCTGTTGTGTACAGAGTACCCGAGCTTGGAAATGACCGACTGTTGAAAATTAGCCTAAGGAGTACTCCGGATGAGGACACCACACCCATATCTCAGGTTATTTCTACTGCCCAAACTTCAATATATTTTTCGAGAGAACATAATAACATGCAATAGACTTATTCGTACCACACGATCATTTTATACACAGAAATATGGAGGCGGAGGTCACAAGAATGCCAGTTCATTCATGTTGGACACTGAAGAATTTGAAAAATGGAAGGTTTCTGTTCGATAAACTCGATCTTTAGTGTGCGAACCCCACCCCAACAGTTATTTATTTATTTTTTTTAAAAAAAAAAATGAATAAGGAAAATTCTATTTCTTTCCCATCATTTTATAATCATAGATATTGTCTAAATGCATTTTCAACTTCAATTTTTCATGGTGTCGTGTTCTCGACTTCCTTCACATTACATTTGTCGGGTTGTGATGTTTTTCATGATAGAGATATGACTGAAAACTCCCAATTTGACTGTGATTTTTATAGTGAAAGTGTACGTGTTCATGAATCGTATTTCGTTCGTTGAAATTTGAAGCTATGATGTGAACTTTTGGCCAATTAAAAATTGACTACTGAAGCTGTAGTATGAGCACAAAAGGACCCCTACCCAGACCTAACATTCAGAGATTTGAAATTTTGCAGAAAATTAAATTGTGGGAAAAATTGAGGACTAGGTTTGGTCAAACAAAACCAATTTATCTGAAAAGATCAACAACCAACCAACCAATAATAATAATAATATCACAACAATATAACAACTTCATAAGGGAATAAAACCCTTTATTCTAACCCAATAAAGATACCCCAATAAAGAGGCCAAAAACCACCACAAGGATAAAAACCCTGCCCTGGGTGTAATTCAGAAAACACACCAGGCAAAAATACGATGAAAATAATGGGATGAAAAAAGTATATAAGTACAATTAGTGATGATCAGAGTAATGCATGACATAACAGGAACATGATTAAAAATGTATAAACATTAGTCTTTTGAAGTTGAATAATCCCATGTATTAGTTCGTGAAGGTCAGCTGAGAAACTTCATCACCAGCAAAGTTTGTGCTGGATGAACACCAAACATCATCTGTAATAAACTGCATCCATGACTCATCCTTGTCATCTTTATCTTCTTCTTCATTACATCTATTGTTGGAAGATGATGCCAAAGGGAAGTCGGGTGACATTGACTCGTGCTCGTTGTTGACTCCTTGCATGTAATCGAGCAACAACACGTTGCTCGATTGGACGTGATCCTCGATTTCTGAGGACAGTCCGTTTTTCTTGAAAACACGGCATAATGCATACGAGTCCTGCAAACAAGAAGTTAGCATTGTTATTAAAACTTAGAAGGGTTCATTGCAAGTGTCTAAGGTGATCGAACCTCGGTTGATTTGATTAGACATTTTTTTTTTCTTGTTCAAGACAGCTTTGCAAGATTCTCGATTTCATGTTAACTGTTTAGGTTTCAAGTGGAAAGTTAAAGTTTGATGACTGAGATCTTGGATTTGTGATATGATGGAATACAGAGGTGGGGTCATGATGCTTTTATCAGTCAATGTTTGGGGCTCTTGGGGTGTTCTTACAGTGCTGTCAAAATTAAAGTGGTAAAAAGATAGATAAAGAAAAAGAAGAGGGCAGAAATTTGTATAAAGAAAGAAAGGCAATCTTATGGGTTCTGCAAAGAAAATTTCTTGCAAGTACAAAGAGTTCTTTTTATTCTCCCTTGAATTTCACCCTACCAAACTCAAGCATCATATGTCACTCACTCAACATGGGTGGGCCCATAAAGGGCTTGTGGAGGCCAATGTCTCCCTAATGTTCCTATTTTATGTACACTACGTAAAAAATTTCAAACTTGATCATTAATTATGCTAAAAATTTCTACTTTGTAGATTTCACCCTAGAGATACTTGCTATGCAAATACCCGAGTATTTACCGTTGGATCAATTCAGTGTACGTGTAATCCAACGATGAGAGATACGGTGGGTTTGCACACACACTTGTAGGATTGTATCCACCCATAGTCTGATCATTTTATAGATATACTACATTTTACAATAGGTTATCATCTTAAAATTAATTATGTCAAAATACAAATCTCAATTTAGAAATTAGACCTCTTTCTCTCTCTCTCTCTCTCTCTCTCTCTATGAGTTTGGCTTATTTAGGGAGGAATAAAGTGAAAAGTGGCAGACATCTTATATGAAAGTGAGGGGGGACACTACTTTTGGATTTAATATTATTATAAATCAAAATGAAATGATTTTGTGTGTGCAAGATTCTGGGATTCTAGATCAGCAGGGGCCAGCCATATGATGATGATTATACCAAGACAAATAAGACAGAATATAAAATAAGCAAACTAAAACTGTTTGATGATTGGGGGATGAGATCTCATAAGATCAGATTCAGTCTTATGGAAGAATTGTACTTTTTGTCTAGGTATATATAATATAATATTTCTTGATTTATGAGATATATTATATAGAAAAGTGAAGTTCTAAGAACTTTGCCAATTAAGAGATCTAAGGGTAGCAGTGCAAGAAAAGAATAACATGTCAGCAAATTTTTACTTTTCTTTTGGGATAAAATTAAGGGAAAAAAAAGTATTTTTCATACATAATCATTATTAGGGTTGAATCTTTCTGCTTATTTAAATGATATAAATATGATAAAATGAATATGGTTATTTTAACTTTGAATCACAGATCTAGCATAAATTGTTTGAGTACTCATATAAAGTTAAATATTTATGTGTAAGAAACACTATATTGGAACAATTAATTAGAAACATATATGTCATAGAGTAAGAGTAGTATATTTTATTATTGGATGATGCTACGGTCCCGTTACGGAATCATTCTGTCGAGTTGTGTAACCGTTAGATCAACTATCTCTGGCTGTTACTTGATGATCTAACGGTTACAAATCCTGACGAAATTATTCCGTAACGAGACCTTAACGTTTCCCTTTATTATTTTATGAGAAAAACAAATGAAGTTGGGACCATTATTGAGCGTGACAAAAGTATAGAGGCTTCTCATGCATGCAATGCATTTCACGTTCAACGTTCAACACATATATCCTACCAACTTTATTTATTTCTTTGATTAAAAAAAGGGTAAATTAGAAAAATCTATTTTTTTTTTTTTCACTTCTTGAAATCTCCCCTTTTCATCTTTCTTTCTTCTCCTCACCATTTATATATATATATATATATATATATATATTCTTATTTTTCTCAATTATATATATTGTTCACTAAGCCCTTCTGTAAATTCAGTGGTTAATTAAGTAGCTAATAATCATCTTGACATAAATGGATAAAAAGAAGATGCCATCTTTATAATACAAGAAAAACACAAAGCAAGCCACCATAAGAGGCTTTTATATCACACACACACACACACACACACACACACACACACTAAACAATGATCAGAAAATAATTAGAAAATCACGCTTCTGAAGTTAAGAATAAAAACAAGCTAGCAATGCCCAAAATGTTTTTTTTTTTATTATTTTTTCAAGTTTGATCATCAGTTTATAGCTGGCCAATTGACCATTGCATGAGGGTTTATATCATATGCAACAATACACACAATAATCTCTAGCTACAAATGCATTACACTAAATTTAAATTTTAATTAAAAAAAAAATAAATTAAATAAGATTAAACTAAAGAAAATTAGTATAACCATACGAGCTACCTGGAGACCGGAAGTGTCCTCCCACTCCTTGTCGTCGAGTCTATATTCATGCATTACCCAATCGGTCCTTATTCCCTGTGGAGCTCTTCCCCTATAATACACGAGTGTTTTCTTCATGCCTATGGCTCGATTTTGACTATTCACCTTCCTATCTTTCCCGGTCGATTTCCAGTACCCGGCTCGAGTTGCCCTATTCGTCCTGAACCCGTTCGGGTACTTCCGGTCCCTTGGCCCGAAAAAGTACCACTCGGGATCCCTACTCGGCAAGAAAGATTTCTCTACCAAAAAAAA